CACAAGCTACACACTTGGATTTCTTTTGCTAAAGCTTTCTAAATATCTACCCAATTATAATGGATGCACTATTCCTTCCTGATTTTGAATTCTGGATCTTAAGATTTTTCTTTCACAGAAATTTAGAGAAAACAATGGCTTTAAGTTACATAATCTGACTTTTTTTTGTTGTTTTATCTTTTCAATATTCTTATAAACACAGGCTGTTATATAAGTAACATATGAAGGCATTCTAATTGTAAAAGAGTTACATAAAACCCGAATTGTATAAATGTAAAAATGCTATATTCTGGTCTTCTAAATTTCATAGTCTTCTTTAAAGTCATTTAAAGAAGACTTTGGAAGCATTTGGAAGAAAGTATATTTCCAGCCATTTATGTATTCATTTTCATACATATTTTTGCACATTTTGAGTTGAAAAGTATAAGCCAATAAATAGGCAGCTGAAAGCCTGGGAAACTAAAACTAACAATTTCCTTTCCACAACCTCAATGTAATTTTACAGGAATTTATGAATAGAAGAACATACTTAGAACCACAGATAAACTTTCTTTTCCTTTCTGGGCTTCTAGACTTCCTATGATTCCAAATTATAACATGGGGTGGAGTCAGCAGTATTTCTATCCTGACTACAGACCAGAGGGATTGCATCCACTGCATGGCTTAATTATATTTGTCTCAAGAGGAATTTGTTTAGAAACAACAATGAACGTTCAATGTACAAATGGGTTTTCATTTTTTAATACAATTTCCAGAGATAATCCATTGCTGTTGATTACATTACTTAAGCTTTGATGTGTAAAACTAAAAGTTTCTAAAGAATTTTCATTATACCATTGTACTAATTATTGAACTTTATGGAAATTTGTCATAGTAATCTTTAAGCTCCTCAAATGGATGGCGACTGCTCAGGACTTTGTGATATCAACAGGCACAGCACAGGACATAAAGTAGGCTCCCTAAACCCCACAAGTAGCATTCACTTTATTCATTATCTGTGATTAAATTGTTAACAGCATAAATAAATAGGGCCGATGAGGGAAATTCCAATTTTCTAATGGAATAAATTAAAATAATTTATCAAAAATATGAAAGTTGGTTTTTTGTACTGTCCTCAAAAAATTTTAAAAAACCTTGTTCTTAAGGCACCCCATTGCTTCAAGCAGAATGCAGTTTCTTTTAAGTTAATTTAATTTTTTCTGCTTTATTGAGGTTTAATTGACAAACAAAATTGTATGTATTCAAAGTGTACAACATAATTATTTGATATATATATTGTAAAATGATTACCTCAATCAAGTTAATGAATATACTCATCACCTCACATAGTTATAATTTTTATGTGTATGATAATAATTCTTAAGATCTACTCTTTTAGCAAATTTCAGGTCTGCAATACAATATTATTAACTATAGTCACTATGTTGTACTTTAGATTCTCAGAACTTTTTCATCTTAAACCCTTTGATCAGCATCTCACCATTTCCCCCACCCCTCAGTTCATCCTACTCACTGCTTTTATAAATTTAACTTTTTTTTTATGATTACACTTTTAAGTGAGATTACATAATACTTGTCTTTACGTATCTGGCTTATTTCGCTTAGCACAGTGCCTTCCTGATCCATCCATGTTGTCATAAATGGCAGGATTTTCTTATTTTTTATTGCTGAATAATATCCCTCTTTGACATTGGTCTTGGCCATGAATTTCATTTTTATTTTTTAAATTTTTATTTATTTTAAAATTTATTTATTTAAATTAATTACAAGTATACAGTACATTGGTGAGACATCTATATAGTTCATAATACGATTCCCTGAATTGCTCCCTGCATCCCCTCACCTTCCACCTAGCCATCATATTAATGCTAACTGTATTCCCTCTGTCATGCTCCCCACCCTTGTGATCAACTATCAACTACTAATTTGTATTTCTTTAATGCTTCATCCCATTCTCCCAGCCCCACAACTCCCCTCCCCTCTATCCATCCCCAAATTGCACACTATATTTGTGAGTTTGTTTTTGATTAGTTTGTTCTTTTTGTTCCTTAGATTCTGCATGTAAGTGAAATTATATGGTATTTGTCTTTCTCTGTCTGACTTATTTCACATAGCACAATACCTTCTAGATCCATCCATGTTGTCGCAAATGGTAAGATTTCATTCTTTTTTATGGTCGAGTAATACTTCATTGTACATGTATGTATCACTTCTTTTTTATCCAGTCATCTATTGATGGACACTTAGGTTGCTTCTATATCTTAACTATTATAAATAACATTGCAATGAACATAAGGGTGCATTTGTCTTTCTGAATTAGTGTTTTGGATTTCTTCAGGGAAATAACCAGAAGTGGGATTGCTGGATCATATAGTAGTTCTATTTGTAATTTTTGAGGAAACTCCATATTTTACAATAGTGGTTGCACTAACTTGCAATCCCACCAGCAGTGTATGAAGTTTTCCTTTCCTCCACATCCTTACAAACACTTGTTGTTTGTTGATTTAATGGTGATAGACATTCTGACAGGTATGAGGTGATATTTCACTGTGGCTTTGATATGCATTTCTCTGATGCTTAGTGACATTGAGCATCTTTACATATATCTGTTGGTGATCTATCTGTATGTTTCCTTTGGAGAAATGTTTATTCAGGTTCCTTATCCATTTTTAAATCAGATTGTTGGTTTTTTGTTTGTTTTGTTGTTGTTGAGTTGTATAAGTTCTTTACAAATTTTGGATATTAACCTCTTATCAGATGTATCGTTAGCGAATATCTTCTCCCAAACAGTCTTTTTGTTTTGTTGATGGTTTCCTTTGCTGTACAAAAACTTTTTAGTTTGATGTAGTCCCATTTGTTTATTTTTTTCTTTTATTTCCCTTGCCCAAGGAGATATATCTGAAAAGAAATTCCCGTTAGTAATATCAGAGAGTTTACTGCCTATGTTTTCTTCTAGAAGGTTTATGGTTTTGGGTCTTACATTTAAATTTTTTATCCATTTTGAGTCTTTTGTTGTATACGTTGTAAGAAAACAGTCCAGCTTCTTTTTTTTTGCATGTATCTGTCCATTTCTCTCAACACCATTAATTGAAGAGACTGTCTTTACCCCATTGTATATTCTTATCTCCTTTGTCATATATTAAGTGAGCGTATAGGTGTGGATTTATTTCTGGGCTCACTATTCTGTTCCATTGATCAATGTATCTGTTTTTATGCTAGTATCATGCTGTTTTGATTACTATGGCCTTGTAGAATAGTTTGATAACAGGTAGTGTGACATCTCCAATTTTGTTGTTCTTTCTCAAGATTTCCGTGGCTACTTGGGGTTTTTTATGGCTCCATATAAATTTTAGGATGATTTGTTCTAGCTCTCTGAAAAATGCCATTGATATTTTGATAGAGGTTGCACTGTATCTATAGATTGCTTTGGGTAGTATGGCCATTTTAATGACGTTGATTCTTCCTAATCATGAACATGGTATAGGCTTCAATTTATT